TTTGGTAAAGTTTAAGGCTAAATTGAGATTGGTTAGACCCACCTTGTGATGTCATAGACTAGCAGGGCCCCCGCCGCCCCTCTGTAGTAAGACCTGGTGATGGAGCGGAAAGACTCCTGGCCAGCCTGTGGAGACACACACACATATTAAATAAACACAAATCCAAGCATGAATAATTGAATTGTTCTGGGGCTGGGGCCCAACAGGAGCTCCTTTCAGAGCTACAACACGCCCTCCAGCTAGCTAGCTAACTCCAGTTAGCGCACGTTAGCCGTCAGTCCGGGTTTCCCAGAGGAATCCGGTCCGGGTTTTGGTTCAGCCGAGCACAGAGCGGAGCCTGTAACCGGATACAATGGAGTCCTCTCTTTCACTCTCCATCTATCCGTCACAAAATCCCTTCTTTCTTTCCCCCGGCCCGCGCGTATTATCTTCCCGTTTCTCCGTTTACGCGCCACAAAGGAGGTCACATTAGCTGCGCGTTGCCGTTTATGGATTATTCTTCCAGCATTTATGTCAGAACTTGACAGTCCATCAAGCTCACCGGGTCACCTTGTACGTTCACCCCCCCCCCTCCTCTTTTCCTCCCCCTTTCCTCATTGTTTCACCTTTACAGTGTCTTCCTTCCATCACTCATCTTTTCATTCTTTCTTTATGAATCCCCAGGCCTCCCCTCTTCCCACCACCCCCGATCCAACGTCTATTCATCCTCTGTCTGTTTCCAGTTTGCATCAACAATGTTGCCTGTGTTCGTCCAGACTGGAGCAGAAAACAAAACAGCGCTCTATCCCAGCAGCTGCGAGCCCGGCGTGCTCTGACCTCATCTGAAAAACCAGACAGCCAGTCAGACACACAGACAGTCAGACAGACAGCCAGTCAGACACACAGACAGTCAGACAGACAGACAGTCAGGGACACAGACAGTCACACAGTCAGACAGACAGTCAGTCAGTCAGACAGCCAGTCAGTCAGACAGACAGACACACAGGCAGGCAGGGACACAGCAAGTCAATGAATCATTCAGCAAGCCAGAGGAGGAGTCAGAGGCCAGGTCGGTTAGCAAGGTGAGCTAGCAAAGCTGAAAGAAACTCAGATATACAGTCAGGCTAACGTTAGCTGCGTTAGCTAGCCAGAGAAAAGCCAGGCAAAGAGCAGTCCAGCAGAGGCCTGGTCAGTTAGCAAGGTGAGCTAGCAAAGCTGAGAGAAACTTAGATATATAAAGTCAGGGAGACAACCATTAGCCATGTTAACTAGCCAGAAAAAAGTCAGTCAAAGAGCAGCCAAGCAGAGGCCTGGTCAGTTAGCAAGGTGAGCTAGCAAAGCTGAGACAAACTCAGATTTATAAAGTCAGGCTAACGTTAGCCATCTTAGCTAGTCTGAGAAAAGCCAGTCAAAGAGCATCCGAGCAGCCGGCAAGGCTATTAGTGGATAAATGATAAATAAGGGTGAAAAAGAGGGAACACTGTGTCCGTCTGCCATCTGGCCAACAGGCTAGTAACACACACACACACACACACACAGACACACACACACTTATTCATATGGCAACTCCAGCCCACACAAAGATCCAAACCGTCTCGATCGGTTGCTGTTTAAATCCTGTAATGAAGAGCAACTCAATCTGGATGGTTTCTATTTTTACCATAATGAGCCAACACCTGGGGAACAGCAGTCCAGCTGAGAAGTCAGATGTTTGGGGAGAAAAAGAAGCTTTATAATCCTCTAAAAGCTCGTAAGATGAGAGGAAAAACTGGGTTATCCTAATAAAGATGAGCTCATATTTACTTTGATATTGAAGCCATTTTTGTGCAATATTTCTTTAACATCTGCTGAATTAAAAGCTGTGGATCATCTTTTCCGAGCGGAAAAGTCAATATGACCACAGGCCTGTTTCCACCACGGATCTCTAGCTCCACCTGCTGGTGGGCCGCTGTAAATACAGTTTTGGGGGGTTTTAAATTCCCTACTTTGTGTGGTTCAGGAGCTCAGTAAAGATGGAGAAAGTAGATTTATTAAAACTAAAAATGAAGATGTTTCTGCTCCTATTTAAAGGCCATTTGACTTCTGACTTTTCAGGCTTTTGCTAAGAAATAAACATGTTGAAAACATTTAAATTCAAACATTTTGAGTTGTTAAACATGGAATATATCTTTAGACATTTATATATATGTATATGTATATATATATATATATATATATATATAAACACATATATATAAGATGTTAGGAATGATGTAGTTTGTGGTCGTCAGGGTGAAAAAGACAGATGGAAAGTTAAAAAGACACACATAAAAAATAATAGACAGATTATTTACCGTATCCCAGATCTGCAATTTGATCTGTTTGCCATCTATAGTGATCATTCTTGCTCCAAACTCCACACCTACAAAGAGAAAATCACAGAGGAGCTCAGTCCATGTGGGTTCTGCCTGTTAAGCTCATATGTACACATTCATTTTACATAAGGGGACAAATTAAAACCCAAATATTTACCAATGGTGAGGTCGTGAACTGGCTGGAACCTCTTGTCTGTGAACTGTAGTAATAGACATGACTTTCCCACACCTGAGAAAAAGAGACAAGAAGGAAAAACAACAGCTGTGAGTCTCTAACTGTAATTGTACTCTTTTTAACATAATATTCTAACATTATAGATCTATAATTTGTTATCTACTCAAGGGTAGTTTTTTTATATTGTAGTATTTAGTATATATACACTTTTGTTCTGAAACTTAGAGAAAACGCTTTTATTTTGAAGGCATTTTTGCTGAATTAAGGCTAAAAGTTAATGGAAAATCTTGAAGATTTTGGATAATTCCCTTTTTCTTGCAGCCAACGAGGTATTTTATTTATTTATTTGCTTTGTAAGTACCGTTTCCTGCTCTGCAGGTTATTGTTTGTCTATTAATGTTTGTCTTTGTTAACTTTATTTAGTTTGGGGGATCCCAAAACGACTTCAAGTTAACAGTCAAAGAAAAACCACTTTGCTAATAGGGAATTATTCTAACATTTTAAGAATAGACTCCACTCACACGATGGAGAGCCAAATACCTCCACAGGGAGTTCTCCTGTTAAACCAGAATTAATGGCGGATAATTCAGCGCATGAATATTTAATATGGGAACGGGGAAGTTTTCCTCCAGCAGGGAGCTCCCGGCTAGCTAGGCTAGCTGTTAGCTAGCTGTTAGCTAGCTGTTAGCTAGCTGTTAGCAGGCTAACGGGCCAGCTGGCCACTTCCTACATGTGAAGCCACAGTTGGTTTGTTTTTTTCCTCCCCAAAAGGGCACTGATGAATCTGCTGGTAATTAACACTATTCTGCAAATGACTCAGGCAGAGAATGTCACCACGAACCCACAAACACCTCACAGGGACAGTAATGTTCACTCCTCAGATTAGAGACCAGGACGGTTTATTCTACAGATTTATTCTACTGTTCAAGACAAAGTGCTTCACTAGGAATTTAAAAGCAAAAAATATAAAAAATTCAAATAAATAATAATTTAAAAAATAGAATATAAAAGCAGATAACATTGAAAACTTAAATAAATAACAAAAAATAGAATATAAAAGCAGAAAAAATATATATTTAAAATAAATAATAAAAAATAGAATATAAAAGCAGAAAAAAATAAAAATGAAAATGAATAAAAAATAGAATATAAAATCAGAAAAAATTAAAAAGGAAAATAAATAATATAGAATAGAATATAAAAGCAGAAAATAAATAAAATGAAAATAAATAATAATAAAATATATAATAAATATTAAATTACATTTATTTATAATAATACATATTTATAAATAAATATTTAATAAAATATCAAGTATAAAAATAAAAGTTAAAATCCACATGCTCAGTTAAACAGATGTTTTCAGCTGGATTTAAACATTCAGAGTTTGGTTCTGATCCAGATTTTAGGAGCATGGAGCAGAAATTACACTTCAGCTGGTTTAGTTCTGACTCTGGGACCAGAACCTGGTTCTCAGAGTCCATCTGTAGAAAAAAGCTTGTTTTTTTCTGCCTCACACAGAGATAAATAACCAATTTTTTAATTTCTTTTTAGCTGAACTTCATGGTGAGTAGGAGTTATTGATGTCTGGTCCAGATCAGACACTCGGAGGAATAAATAAAATGGGAGGTAATGAATTCAAGCTGCCACCTCCACTTGATCTATGCCCCCCCCCCAACCCCCCCAGAGGTTAATATGCTGAACCAGGAAACGCCTAAAGCTCCGGGAGAGACAAGATGTCAGCAAAATGGAGAGTTTGAGGCATTTTCAATCAGAAAACCTCAATCAGAAAACAAAGAATCTA